AAAGTCTGGGCCAAGCTTCTTCAAGGTTTGACCTTGAAACCATAGTAATCAGGCGTGTAGGAGTCATAGGAGGCCGGTACAGGACTTTAATGGCTTTGGAAGCCATGGATTCAGGCGATTTTAGGGTGGAAATGAAGGGAGGCGGCTAGGGTTTAAGAGGAGCTTGAGAGAGAATTGGAAAAGGGGGGGATTCAAAGGCGGCTGCAGGTGATAAATGACTAGGGTTAGGGGGTAATTGGGAATTAAAAAGGAAAGAGTTAATGGTGGTCGTTGATCATTTTAATCAACGGCCTGGATTGAAGAGGAATCCGGGCGGATTATTTTAACGGGACATGGGTCGGGTAGATTAGGATTTGGGCTAGGTAATTGAGTTTTAGAATTGGGTCTAATTAGAGGTTCAAATCCGGCTAAAATTGAAATGCAAATGGGCTATCATTTAAATAGCCATTTTCCCTCATTTATTTTATAAAAAATAGTAAAATAATTTTTGAAAATAAATAAAGGTACTAAATGATTAATAATACAAATTATTAAATTAAAAATATTGGAGTCAATTTTATAACTATAAATACAATTAAATCTTAAAAGAGGTTAATATTGCAATTATATGCAATTTAGCTTTAAAAATACCAAATAAATTTATACAAAATATGAAAAAATTATGCTAGCTATATTTTAATATAAATATGAGACTTCAATAAATGAATCACCCAAAATGATAATTTTGGGGATAATTACTGGTTTTTTCTTGATAAATAGGGCAATAAATTTATTTAAAAATCTTTAAAAATTAAGAGAAAAATAATAAAACCTTGGGACTTATATATGCATATACATGCTATTTTGAGAGTATTTTGCATATTAAAAATATACAGGAAAAAATTAGGTATCAACAGCAGGTACATGTGAATATACCTTTCACAAAGGTGCTTTTAGAGATGCCAACCTATACTAATTTCCTAAAGGAGATATTATCCAACAAGTGTAAAGTGGAAGAGACATCAGTTGTCAAGCTCACAGAGAAGTATAGTACCATTCTGCAAAATAAGCTCCCTCAAAATTGTGGAGATCCAGAGAGTTTTACTATACCTTTCTCTTTAGGAAGTACTAAGTTTGAAATTTTTTTATGTGATTCAAGTGCTTTTATTAATCTTATTCCTTTGTCTATTTTTTAGGAAATTAGAGGGAGATATTAGAGAAATCATATCGATACATGTATCTTTGTAGCTGGAGGATCAGACCACAATCATACCTAAAGGAATAGCGGAAGATGGGCTAGTTCAGGTGAATAAATATGTGTTCCCTATGGACTTCATTGTGGTGAATATGGAAAATAATAGGGAGGTCCCTCTGATTTAGGGAGACTCTTCTTGGCTACTAGCAGAGCTATTCTGTACATTGAGGAAAGGCAGCTCATGCTTAGAGAGGGGGAAGAAAGGATGATCTTTAAGATGGAAGGAGCAATGGGGGCACCTAGAGACTAGATGATTGCACACTGTGAATTCAAGGCGAGGGCCTTAAAAGAGCAAGCTGGAGATAGTAAGCATGGCAAGTGTGGGGTGTACCCAAATAAGCAAAAAAAAAAAACTTTCAGCATGAATGTGTGCTCTGGATCGGGCGTGCAAAGTTGATCCCAACTTCTATTCAGACCCAGAATAGATGATTCAAGGGAGTTTTCTTTACCTTTTTTTAACTTTTATCTATGTGTCATGGGTACATTCCACAATTTAAAGTGCGGGGTAGGGGATGTAAATATAGACATGTGTGTTTGCTTTTCTTTTGTTTTGTTCGAAAAAATATTCACTTGTCTCGACAATGGATTATTCTTGAGGGATCAAAGTAGGAAAAAAAGAAAAAGAATGTCTTTCAACTTTGTTTTACTTTCTTAGGTAGTGTAACAATTTTCTCTTAGTTTTTCTTTGTGCAGCGGTTCTTTTCCAAGGGTTTTGCTTGAACCCAGTGTAGTTAGTTTTTCTTTTGTTAGGAATAGAGAAGTCTTGTGCTATGGTGTTAAATAGAGATAACTGTTCTTGACTTTGCATATGCCTTGAGAGTGATGAGTACCTTAGTTGTGATGCTTAGGCTCAGTTCTTGAATCATGTAAGTACCTTAATTTGTTTGATCTTGACTTTTGCTTAATCGCTTTGACTAGAGAGTCGGGATAGATCCGATCCTAAGTGAGTTATGTTCCATGGTATGTGTGAGGTTTTGTGGTATCCTGTGCATGTCAGTTGATATCTAGAACTTGTCCCGAGTGTTTACAAAGTGAAATTGAAGTCTTGTTCAATCTAGGAAGTAATATATGCATTTCTTTATTGAGCCAATTATATGTCTTGCGACCTACCTAATTATTATGTATCCTAGTTAGCCCCTTTGAGTATGTAATCTTATTTTCTTTAGTAACCACAATACACGCTCGAGCTCTTTTGTTTGAACTGATTAGTTGTTTGAAGATTTTACTTCTCTTAAGCACTTGATATCGTTATGAGCTTGTTAAAAGCTAAGTGGGCGTATGGTTGAATTTTAGAATAGAACTGAGAAAAATGAAGAAAGGTGCACTGCTTAAAAATTTATGAGAGACACTTGTAGGGAATTGACAAAACAAAATATTTGCTTGATAAAATAAAAAAAGCCAGAACTTTAAAATGAAAAAAAAAAGAAACAAAAGAGTTTGGGGGTATGTATTAGAAAAAGATTTGATTCCTTGCTAGCGGTAGTTCTCAACTTTTTTGTGCTTAAAAAAATTGAGAGCTTGATGTTATTATGTGTGAAGGTTGGGGTTTGGTTCAACATAAGTGTGTGAATTATTAATGTATATGTATTAAAGTGCTTAGGGAGGTGTAGTCACTATATCCAAATATATCTTACCCGTCCCGCAACTTATATTGCAACCAAAATAAAGTCCTACTTGAACTTTGACTGAATGAGCTCAATTAGTAGAGTATTAAACTACGGACAAGCCTATGGTGCGTCTTCTATGGCACATGAATTTTAATTTTGAGAGTGATTAAATTATTTCTATTTTGAGTTCCTATTTGTTCTTGAATTTTATTGTATGTGGAACTACTCTCTACATTTGTTTGAGGGTACATGACTTGTGAAGGAAATGTAATGTCTTTGGCCTCTATGTTAGAGCAAGTGACTAGGTTGTGAAAAATGCTTGGTGCTTTTGAGTTGAATCTTGAAGCTAGGATGTTATAGTATAGTACTTTGTTTGCGTTAAATATTCTTGGTAGGATGAGTTAGAAGAGTTTCTTGAAAAGGTTATCTCTATTTGAAGTGTAGTTTGATTGTTCGGGGACGAGCAATGATTTAAGTGTGGGATGTTGATGGTAGACTAGGAACTCATATTTTTAACTCTGTTTCGCACTCTAATTACTATACTTTAATTATATTTGATCCTAATTGCTAGTATTTTGTACATATTACGCGTGTTATGTTATATAGGATGTGATTTCGAGTGAAGAAATAAGTTTGGAGATAAAATGGATAATTTGGAGCTTTGAAGTCTAGTGGAAGCCCAAGAAATTATGTCGGGATTACGTTCTGGGGTCGAGGACCAAGTCTGGATGTTAAAAAAGCAAGAAAAACATATTACTCTGAGAAAAATTAACTATCGCGCTTCGGGACACGGGTTGCTAGTGCAAGATTCCTACAGAAAGAAAAAAAATCAATGCTCTGAAGATCCTCACTAATACGGCGCAATGGGGCGGCACATGGCGCACCGTGGCGGTATATTTTCACAGTCCAATTATCCCACTTTGGCTTGAAAAGGATAGTTTCGTCGGGGACCGTTCCTACATGGTATAAATACATCAAAAATACAATTTTTAGAGGACTTTTAACCTTAGAAGCTTTTGGGGAGAGCATTGAGGCTTGAATTCGTTTATGGAGCTTTAAATTATTTTGTTCACAATTTATTTAATCGAAATGGGAATATTTTGGTGATTATCCTTACATTATTTTGCTTGGTTTAATTTAGTGATTCTTTTAAGTAACCGAAAAAGCTTGATGAATTGTTGATTAAACAAGTTAGGAGAATATTCGAGAGACGTTCTCCTGAAGACTAATCCATTAACGCATGCTTGCATATTTTTACAGTGCTTATATTAGTTCACCTCGTAGAGTTAAGATTTAATCGAGAGAGGAGTTTTGGCTACACGTTTGAACTAATCATCGAGTGAATTTGTAAAAATCATTAGAGCATTAGAGTGAATTGAACCATAGTTGGATCCCGAATAGGTAGCTTACACCTACCCTGTCGCGACCCTTATTTCTCATATTGCTTACATCCCATTTGGTTCAACTCTCACCCTTTGTGATCATTTTCAATTAGTCGTAATCTTAATTTAGTAGTTAATTGTAGTTAGTAATTACCTCAAATTAAGTGTTGATCATCCTGAATAGCAGAAAACCATAAGTTATTTGAACATTGTTTCCATAAGTTATTTGAACATTGTTTAACTCCAATCCCTGAAAGCGATAATTTTACCATACTATCTTTGACTAGCGAGCATGCGCTCGTCAAGTTGCTCATTCTTATTGTGAAGTGTGAACATCTCCAAAGAAATATCTATTAAATCTCTCTCTCTCTCTCTCTCTATATATATATATATATACCGAAAGATACATGCATACTCCATAATATATATGTTATACACAGAAGTCTACTAGTTTTCTGACTTAATTATACATGGATTCCAAATAGGCAACCCCAGTTTCAATCATAAGATCGTGCAGAATCCCTAAAATCGCAATATTGAAAAGAAAAAAAAAAAAAAAAAAAAAAAAAAAAAAAAAAAGCAAACACGATGTTGAAATTAAACATAAAAAAATAAGATTGAAGACCCCTTAAAAAGAATAAAAAATTTATATTACACTATGTGTGGAGTGTGGACGTGAGTATTAAGTTTCTATAGAGAGAGCGAGAAAAAGAGATTTTGATACAGAAAGGTGTCTGTGTTCTGAGTAACTATAGTTGCTATTGTTCCTAAATTCAAGTATAGAAGATCAAAGTTTAATTTAATCCAGAATAACTAGTAGAAGCTGTACAAACTTTTAGGGTTTTTAAAACTCTAATTTAGGGCTCCCACTCACATCCCGAAGCTAATTCAATGATATATCCAAGAAAGCGTAGAGAAACAACTTAATCAGAATGTTTTATGTAGAACGTATATATATTATACATCCTTAATTACTTCATACTATATGAAGATAATTAATCCTCAGATTGAAAGTCTGACCATATCTGCAAAAGCAAATCAAAGCAATCCTCTTATTATCAAAGAAAGAAATTTTACCATTTTTTATTTTCCTGTTGAGAATTAGGCCAAAGCGATCAAGAAGAATGCAACTGAAAGGTTCTTGCAGGTGTCTCGTTGTTGTTACTAGAATTAATTTGGATTTTCCTCTTCTTTTTCTTCTTATAAGGAATTCCCCTTGCTTTAGCTTGAGAATCTCTTACCTCACGAAGATAAATTCGTATAGCACTATTTGCAAATGGATTTGTCTCTTGCAATCCACCATTTTCCTCATAAGCAGCTCTAAGCCTTCCAATTAGTGCATCTAAACTTCCCCATGCTTGCCTAAGTGGACAAGTACATGGACCTCCTTGCTCGGATTCTCCAAAAAAGACACAACCATGTAAATGTACCTTAGTTTTTCCGAATTGATCCAAGTACCGGAGAAAATCTAACACATGGTTGTAGTTGCAATTGGATAAAGGAACTGGGGGTTTATGGTTCTTCAAGTACTGTCCAAAAGTAGTCCAATCACGGCGTTTCTGAGACTCATAACGGCTCAGTTGTGGTGGTGATGGTAGCTGATGATGGTCGTCAGATGGCTCTAGCATTATACTAGTTGATGATGATCCTTCTCCTACTTCCCTTAATCTTTGCTCACTTGACATCATAGCTTGAAAGTTCTGCTATCTGGAGTTTCTCGTATGGCGATCTTGGTTTTTGTCGTGCAATAGAACTGCGTTCCTTAGCCTAAGGTAATTAGGAGTAATTTATAAAAGAAAATCAATATAAATTGGGTGCATAATTTCAGAGGGAGATATTTGATTTGGGACTTGGGTTTTAATGAATTGCTTTAGCTAAGAGCCTAAGAGAACGCAAAATTACTATTGCAGTGGAGAAAGATGGAAAACAAACAATTATGTGGCAGCTGAGAAGACATGGCATGGGTCCCACAAGTGCTTTAGCTCCTCTTTTTCTTCCATGATATCACCCCAACATTATTTTCTTCCTTTAATTGTACTACTATTAGCATTAAGTGTGGCTTTTAATGATAATTTACTTATTTTTATTTGTTTAGCATCATACCAGCACTCATTATCAAGAATATTAGCAAAACTAGCACTTTAATTTGACCCTCAGCGACTAAGAGCAGTAGCTAGTGTGAACACAGTTAATTCAACTTTGTACGTATTAGTCAAGAAGTGAAAAGAGTAATTCTAGAATCCTATAAAAAGAAGAATAGACTTTTTTTTTTTTTTTTTACAATTTGGTTTTCAGAATCCGCTCGAAAGACTTCTAATTAATGATAGGGCCTTATTCATTCCACCACTCCTCCTAATGATAAAATAGAGTTTCTATCATTGCTTTAGTGGGCGAAGAAATTACTTGTATTTTTCTTATAACTTTAGATCATAAACACGTATTCTATTGCTTTAGGTGATGAAGAAATTACTTGTCTGCCCTCCAAGTCCAACTTTAGATCATAAATAAGTACGTATTATTTATGTAGACTAAAATACTCGATTCTAGATCATATTAGTAGTATGAAGACTGGTGAATTTGATAGTGCCGACTAAATATGTTTTAGTTAACTAGATTTAGGATACACGTATTGTGTGTGTATTTTGTCTCAATGAATATAAAATTTTAAGAAAATTACATATATTTTTTATTGAAATTTATATGTGAGCTATAAAATAGAAGCTAAATAAAGAGTATTAGTTTTTAAAAATGACGATTCCATTTAATTAGCTAATTACTCAATAAAGGAAGATTTTAATCATCTCAATCAATATATTCAACTTAATATTCATTCTAGTTTAATAATTTTATTACTTTAATTTCACAAGTAAGCATACTTCTCTTTTAGTTTTAACAAGAATATATAACCCTTGAAGATTTAAGAGTTTATCTAAAAAAATAATTTTGTAAAACTATATATTCTTAAATTCATTCTAAAAGACACAATCACATAAAATGTTTTTTTATTCCTCGCAAGCAAATGCAAATTGTTTTATTTGTTTAATCTATAAGAATACATACGACTTGTTTCCGACAAAAAATATTAGAATAATATTACTGTATATGATCAAAATCAAGTATGCCCGATTTCGTAAGCTCGGAAAGTTGCTTCGAGAAAAAGCTCAAAACGGACCTGGCTCGAGCCCGATGGCAGAGTATAGAACTTGAAGACCGAAGTGGTCGATGAAAATCAAGGCCTAGTATGACCAACCTCGAGATATTACCGTTATGGTTTAGCAACAGAAAGAGTGAGATTCCGCAACGGCCCGAAGATCCCGGTGTAAATTCCGGAACGAATTTGTACTTTGCGGTTAGACAGCTATCCAATAATATTCCCTACTATAATTAGAAGTGTATTTTATTTAGGAACCCCCTACTATATAAAGGGGAGCCCATTTATTTGTAACACATCATTCATTGACAAGGGAATATACATTCTTCACTTTCTTGCTTACTATTCATCAGAGTTGCCTTATAATTTACTGTTCTTACTAACCCACCTTGAGACTGTCATAGCTCGAGGTCAAAACTTGGTTTGCACACTTGTTTGGCTTACTTTATTCTTCAATTTACATATTTAATTCCTTCCTTATCAATTGGTATAGGACTAAATTACATATCTTTAAAACCACAATATAAATTTAATTGTTACTCGGATTTTAGGGTAAATAGTTTGGCGCCCACCGTAGGCTAAGAATAATAGTGATTATTTCAGTACTGATTCTGATAACACACGTTATTTTCATACTTGTTCCCCTCAAGAATTTTTGTTCTCAGGTTAAAATATGTCAAACTCACAAAACACACCCGTACATGGCAATTATAGTCTTGGATTTCATGGAGAAAATGATAATGTAATTGCTCCAGGAGCCAGTGTACCACCGATTAACCCTGGGGAAGTGCCGATTGTCGATCCAGTCCATGTCAGTTCGGACATTTCTTTGAACGCGGACTTAGGCGCAGACCCCAGAGGAAGTGTGCGCAGGGAAGGCTGATCTGGTGGCTAAGGAACACAAGGTGTAGGAGACGAGGGTGTTAGTCTCCAGGTAATATTCGAGATACTACAGGCTCAACATGCCGCTATTGCTCAGCTTCAGAGTTAACATAGAACTCCGAGTGTGGTTGAGCCGGAAATCACTCGCCGTACCGAGCCAGTGCTGGAAAGGACGAGCGGTAACAGATCAGGGACTGATCCTACAATTATGAAAATGCTCGAGGAGCTCACTAATAGAATCGAGTCGGGAGAAAAGAAAATTAAAGATAATGATAAAAAAGTGAAAACATACTGTCACGCCTCCTTTTTACCCGCGCCCGCAGGGGCGCAGAGGGAGTTTTTCCAATTAAAGGACAATCAAAATGGGCTTTATTTATTTATTTCAGAGTCGCCACTTGGGAGATTTAGGGTGTCCCAAGTCACCAGTTTAATCCCGAATTGAGGAAAAGAATGACTCTGTATTACAGTCCGCGAACCAAAAATCCGGATAAGGAATTCTGTTAACCCGGGAGAAGGTGTTAGGCATTCCCGAGTTCCGTGGTTCTACCACGGTCGCTCAACTGTCACATTCGGCTTATTTATCTGATTTTAACAATTATGAGCTTATATGCAAGTTTTAACTCTTTACCAATTTTATTATTATTATTATTTTAACAGAGAATTGCAACGTTGTGAGAATGTATCTCGAACCACGTCACAGTCAATGTACTCGTGATTAGCGACACATTTCGACTTCGTTGAGATTTGGATTTGGGTCACATAA